GATGGGGCCTTGGACCTGCCACAGTGGTTCTGAAATTTAAATCACCTGTTCTTGGTTCCAAATGCCTCTGGTCCCTTCTGTCAATTAGCATCTATCCTACATGAGATCTGGGTAAGATGAAAGCATTGCTGACTACCAGGGACAAAAAAGAGTGCATCAAAGCACTAACTTGGCCCTGTTGTGTCCCCATCTTGGAGGAGAAAGAGAAGTTTGCTCTGGCCAGGCATCCTACAGGTTCCCAAGAGGACCATCACATTACAATGCTGGACTTCCCTTGCAGTCCAGTGGTTGAGACTCCATCTGCCAAGGCAGGGGACACAGGTTCGATCCCTGGGCTGGGAAGATCCCGCATGCCACGGAGCACCTGGGCTCGTGCGCCACAACTATTGAGACTGTGCTCGTCAATGGGAGCAGCCGAGGCAAGGAGAACCCCATGAGCTGCAATTAGAGCAGCCCCCGCTTTCTCCAGAGAAAGCTGGAGCAGCAATGAAGACCCAGTGCAGCCATAAATAAATAAAATTAAAAAACAACTTAAAATTGAAAAAAAACCTTCCTCCAGAAACTCCTGGATCTTTTCACCAAGCTAAAGCAATAAACCAGGAAAACCTACAGTGCCAAAACCAGATGTGAGCTAAAGAAAACGCCTGTGCTCAAAGCGCAGAAAGAACCACCATTCGACTTTTGGTTTTGGCTCCAAACAAATTAACCCCAATTTCCAAATTAACCCTGCTTTCCAAGGACTTTTCTGATAAGCAAGATTTCCAGTAAGTAAGGCCTGATCTGAAACAGGCCTGTTGTCCATCTAGAATTTTGCCACAAGCCCCACAGAAGTATAATTCAATTTATGTTCTCGAGATACGTAAGACGCCAGTATAGAAGAACCGTGCAGAGCCCCATCTGGGCGTGTGTTTAGAATCAACTCCTCTCACCTGAAATGTTTCAAGGTGGATCCTCAGAAAGGCTTAAGTCTTCCTTCCCCCTTGTGCAAACTCCACTTTTCCTCCAGGTTCCCAAGAATCAGAGGTTTAAAGGGACAATTAGTGAAGCTGCCGTACACTGTGGCCTGGGGCCACGACTGCAGCCACAGTGGGGACAAAGGTGGCATTTGTAGGGGAGTGGAGACGGCCATCCAGCACTCCTACAGGCTGGAAGCCACTCTTGGGGAGTCCGAGACCAACAGAAACCTGTAACCCTTTGCTGGGGCTGAATTCAGTTTTTGATGAGATTTGGAAAGACCGCTGTCACCCGGTGTCACCACGGCAGCAGGCCTGGAGAAGGCCTGGCCCTTGCACTGGACAAATGCCAGTTTGCTTCCTGCCCCCGTTCTTACCTGCCCTGTACCGCAGGGAATCACAGTTCATGGGCTCCCTTGCCCTGGCAGAACATAAGAGGGCAGGAGGAAGGGAGAAGCCAGGGTGTTTTTCCCCTCTCATTCTGCTTCCTGTGGCCTCCCCAGCAGCAGCCTTGGTTCTTTTCTGTGGCTCCAAGGTCCCTTCCTTCATGACCCCACATGCCATACCAACTTGTTTCTGGGTTCCAATAACAGCATGTCCTCTGTTTAGCCCTCCACCGAAGAGCAGTAGCTGCTCTGCTACTTCAAGTCTTTGGATTGATTGCCTTCCCTGCGGGGCTTCTCAGCAATCCTACCACCTGTGTAACCAGTGCCCTAGATTAGATTCTCGCAGCTGAAAGACCTAGTAGCTTTTTGCACTAGCCATCTACTCTATCTCTTCTGCCACCTCGTGCTTGTACTTAGTCGCTCAGCCGTATCTGACTCTTTGCGACCCCATGAACTGTAGCCCACCAGGCCTCTGCGTCCATGGGATTTTTCCGGCAAGAATACTGGAGTGGGTTGCCATTTCTTCCTCCAGGGGACCTTCCCAACCCTGGGATCGAACTCACCTCTCCTTTGCGGATTCTTCACCTGCTGAGCTATTGGGGAAGCCATTTTGTCACCTAATTAAAAAAAAAAATTTTTAACCTGCCACCTAATTTAACTCAAATTATCTATGATTTCTCCCACAGCTCAATGTATTGCATTGAGCTCATAAGTGCAGTGAGAGTTTTGAAAAGGAAGGAGGGAGGGAGGGGTAACTGACACTGAGTGATTATCTTGTGAAATATATATATATATATATATATATATATATATGCATTACCTTATTTAATCCTCACAACAACCTTAGGAGGTTGGGACCTTTATTATCTTCATTATACAGATGAGAAAACTGAGGCTCTGAGTTCAGCAACTGGCCCAGGAGCACAGAGCTAGGAAGCAGGGGTTCTGGAGTTCAAACCTAGGAAGGATCCTGAGTAGCTTTTCCAAAGGGAAATACTCCAAAGGCGGGTGGGGCCAGCTTTGTATTGTCCACTTCAGGAAACCTTCAGCAGAGATGCGCTGAGGGGCTTTCTGCTTTCCTTCTGGAACATGTGTGTGGAAAGGGGACAAGAGCCAGTTGCCACTTCCAACACAGTCACCCATAGCAGGCTGTGATCAAACCCTGCAAAGGGGTTTAGCAGTTGCTCTGGGTTTCCCTAAGCATGAAGGCCCAGGTGCTGAGAACCAGGCGGGTCCCCTCCGCCCTGCTCTGAGACTCTAACCTCAGGGCCCAGGGCCCCCAAAGGCCCCCACCAGACCACAGTGTCTGTATCTTCTAGCTGCGCAGGCAGTTACATCATCCCCTGCATCTTGCCTCCCGCTGGCTGCCCCATGCCCAAGGCACAAGATTTGCAAAGACGGAGATGTAAAGAACATTTGAAAACAGGATCACAGAGGAGGCCGAAGCTGAATGCAAAACAATGAAATCATGGGAGAGATATTTGGAGCCTCCACAGAAGGGAAATTTGAGGGTGAATTCAGTCTCTCAAGTTCACTGATAGGTCACCAACTGGCCACTTTTAGTAAAAGCCGGGTCTGGGGGCAGCTGTCATCCTAACTGACCATTTCCACTGTCATCCCCACTGAAGGGAAGCAGGCTAGAGCAGGGTCCCAACCCCCCTCTCCCGCCCTGCACCTGCTGTTAACCTTTTCATTGCTGGATTGGCAAAGGTCTTGGGAGCAGGGCATTTGGGGGTCGGGGCTATTTACCAAGGAGCAAAGAGGGATTTGAACAGGTGCCATCCAGGACAGGTGTGGGAAGCTCCGTAAGGCAGGCCATAAGCTCCCAGGCCACCGGGAAGGAGCCCCCATGAAAGAGAGTCCCTTCCGGAGCAGATGTTCTTTGCCATCCACACTGCGGAAACGCGGTGGCCTGTAAGGCTGGCGCTCAGAGATGTCTCCCCATCCCTTACCCCACCCCTGCTGGGAGGGCACAGTAATTGGCACCAGGCCTCTCAGGCTCTCACTCCCTCTGCCTCTGGCCCAGCGCTTGGCCTCTGAGGCCAGTGTTAGTGAGCAGAAAGGCCCCCACTGGCTATTCTCTGCGAAAAGCTAAGTGGCCTGGGGGGAAGGGGGAGGTGATGGAAGGAAGACCTTGACCTCGGAGCCCTAAGCCACTGCAGACAGCAGATAGCAATGTGGGGGGGGGGGGGGCCTTGGGAACGGCGCTTTATTGAGGGACATTTGTCTTCATCTGAGGCAGCATACATCTCATCCCACAGGCGTGCCCCAAGGCCCAAGTCTCCCTGACCCCTACCCCACCGTCCCTGCGCTGGATTGAAAGGGAAGTGACCTCTGAAAGCCCCTCAGGACCAAGGTGATAGATGTCAGGGAAGAGTTAACAGAGGAGCCCCAGGCAGCACCCCAGAAAGCTCCCAGCCCCCCAACATAGGAAAGCAGACCTAGGGCAGGGTGAGTGCCACCCAGACTCGGCCCCCAAACTCCAGATCCCCCTCAGCCAGAGCCACTTCTGGAAGTTCAGACCTCACATCCAGCATAATAAACCTAGATTTGAATGATGAAGAAATGTCACCTATTGTTTTTCATAATGCAAAGTAATAAAAACTAAACCTCCTCCAAATCTTTGTGGCCAGATCAGGGAGGTCCCCGGACCCTGTTCCTCTCTTTCATGTAGAGAGACTCTGGTGGCAAGGAGTCTCCAAGAGAGCTTTAGAATTGGAAAGTATCAGAGTGCAAGGTTTTAGTGGGGTTTTCTCCCTGAAAAAGTCAGGATGTTCAAAATGCTGGCAGACCACGAACTATGCCCTAGACGCAGCCACTAATCTACGGAGCTGTGAATAAATCATTTCATCTCCCCATGTCTCACGTTTCCAAATATTAAAAAAAAAAAAAACAAATCGCCTGATCACAAGAGGAGCTGGCCTGAAGATCGGCTACCAAGGCGCGATGCTGAGTCTGTGTAACAGACCGCGGACTCAGGCTCCCAGCTTTGCTTAGGAGGCGCGAGACCCTCTGGGCCTGGGGGCGGGGGAGGGTGGCTGTTGAGGGGGAAAAGCACGCAAGGCCTGGATTAGCTGCACCGTGCCAAGCACAACCCTACAGCCACTTTAGGGGCTGCGGAGAGCAAGGCACCAGGCACGTGGCACTCTGGCTCCAGCTCTTTCCAAACGCCAAGCCGTGCGGGGCGAGCGGCTGGCGTGCCGGGGGTGACCCGGGCCCCATTGCCTTCATCTGCGGGGCGGGGGGTAGGAGGGTGTCGTCGCGTTCAAAACATGGGTCCGAAGGGGGCGAGCCGCGTCCGCCTCGGGCGCCCAGGCTGGGCAAACCGCCGCGCTCGCCTCCCCAGCTCACCGGGTTCATTTCCATGTGGAGCGCGGCGCATCCCAGGCGCCCTTATCTCGCCGCCGCCGCCGCAGCGGCTCTGCAGGCGCGGGCGCCCCGGGCTCCCTCCCCTCCCTTCCCCGCCTGCCGCCCGCGCCTTTGTCTGGCCTGGCGGCGCGCTCGGAGCCAGCAGGGCGGGTAATTGGCGGCCGGAGGAGGCGAACGGGCCGGCCCGGCCTCCGCTAATGAGCGGGCGGAGCCGCGGGGAGGGCCCGGCGGGGGTGCGGAGCGGGTGAGGGGGCTCCCGTGCCTGTGCGCCCTCCCCGCCCCCCCCCCGGCGATGGTCGGCCGGGTCCCCGCAGCCCCCTCCCGGGCTGTGGCGGGGACTGGCGTCCCGAGGGACCTCCCCTCCCCCTCCCCCAGGCGGTCCCCGGCGCGCTCCAATTACCCTGCGGCCGTGCCAAGGCCTTCAGCTGCCCCCGGGCCGCCCTCGCGTCCCCGGAGAAGTGCCAGGGACGGAACGCGCGGGCGGGAGGGCCGAGGTGGGGGCTCCCAGGGGCTTCGCCGCGCTGCAGGAGAGCCCGGCGGCCCTGGGGCAGGGGCACTGAGGGGAGGGGATGCCCCGGGGGCCCGATGCCAGAGTGTTCACCTAGGGAAGCCCAAAGGCAGCAGCGAAACCCGCTCCCCGCATAGATGGTGATAAAAAAAAATCCAGCCTCATTTCTAAATTAATAACGCTGAATCCGCTGAGCTCAGCGGCTGGGGCTACGGAGGGCTTGGATGGTCTGAACCAAGGGACACCTTGGCCCCTCGCTAGGGGAGGGGGCATCATGTATTATGGGCTCCAGAAACCCCCTCTCCAAGTCTGAGAGGCGGTGTGGGGGAGGGCGCGGGAACAGGGCGCTTGGAAAGAAAGCCTTTCTCCAGCCAGCCCTTCTCCTCCGGGAAGCCCGCCGTGCTGCCAACACCTGACCCGAGGCCCCTGCTCCAGAAGCCGGCTCCTTCCTGTGGCTCAGTCCCCAGCTGTCAGGAATCATTCCGCAGCAGGCTCCACGCCGTGCTGCCAACACCTGACCCGAGGCCCCTGCTCCAGAAGCCGGCTCCTTCCTGTGGCTCAGTCCCCAGTTGTCAGGAATCATTCCGCAGCAGGCTCCACGCTCGACTTCCACAAATCTCCACTGGGTCCCCCTGCATCTCCATTCCTTTTGTGGCTGCCGTTGTGGGTTCTTGAAGTCACCGGATGCTTCGTGTTAACAAGGCTGCCCTTTCAAACATTGCTTCTCAGACTTAGAGGCTGAGAGTCTACTTGTGAAAGGAAGGGCCCAGGCTTGGGGAATTGGAGAATCCTCCTGGGAACCCTACACTGGCCGGATGGCAGCCTTAGGGAGCCACAGGCAGCTCAGGACAGCCCTCGAGGGAGAGTTCTCCACTATGAGACTTAAAGGGGGACTGCCACCTCCCAGGAGGAAAGGAGATATTTTCTTCCCACCTAGGAAGACTCCTCACCCAGGAATTTCCGCCCCCCCACCTGTTCCCAACTCTCTTACTCTGCCCACCTAGGAGGAACTCCCACACAGCGAGTTTTTCCCCCTTTTTATTTATGTTTTTATTGAGGTACAACCATACATACAGTGGAAGTGCACAGTTTGGTTCATTTTTACATATGGATCTGCCTTCCCTGGTAGGGCTTCCCTGGTGGCTCAGGCGGTAAAGAATCTGCTTGTAATGTGAGAGACCAGGGTTCGATCCCTAGGTAGGGGGAGATCCCTTGGAGAAGGGAATGGCTCCCGCACTCCAGTATTCTTGCCTAGAGGAATTCCGTGGACAGAGGAGCCTTTGCAATCCGTGGGGTCGCAGAGAGCCGGACACAGCTGAGCGACTAACACTTTCCCTTTCACCCTTTCTGCCTTAGTAATCACCACCCAGGTCAAGCTATAGAACGTTTCCAGCAGCCCAGAAGGTTCCCTCAGGCCTCCTCTTAGTCAACATCCGCCAACTATTCATCACCATAGATTCGTCTTGCCTGTTTTTATAAACAAAATCATGCAGCGTGTGCTCTTTTGTCTGTAGCTTTTTTCACTCATTGTCTGCCAGATTCATCCAGGCTGTTGCATGAAACAGTGGTTCATTCTTTTTAATTACTGAGTGTTATTCCATTGAATGAACATACCACAATTTATTTATCCATGTGACTGTTGATGGACATTTGGATTATCTCCAACTTGGGGCTGTCATGAATAAAGTGGTTGTGAACATTCTCCCCAAGTGCCTTTGAGCGGAAATGAGGACCTATTTCTGTTGGGGATACACCCAGGGATGGAACTGCTAGGTCATAAGGTAGGTATGTGTTTATTGCCAAACAGTTTTCCAAAGTAGTTGTACCGGTTAGCTTTTTAAAGCTGCAGTCAGGGTACAAAGGCTATTCAGAGTTAAGTTGCAGGCACAGCATAATAGTAATGTGCTAGGTACTGTTCTAAGAGATTTGCATATAATTAACATGTGTGTGTACGTGCTTAGTCGGTCCGACTCTTTGCGACCCCATGGACTGTAGCCCACTAGGCTCCTCTGTCTGTGGAATTTTCTAGGCAATTAACATGTGCTTACATGCATTTGTATGCAGACATTCTCACAATGCCTGGTTTCATCTTAGAATGGGCACAAGATCTCAAGGGCTGGCTTGTCTGGATCTTTGCATTGCCCACCCCAGTTGGGATTCAAATACCATATTCTATGTTTGTGGAATAAATCGTATCCATTTTACAGATGAGGAAACTGAGGCCCAGAGTGGTGATAACTTGCTGAAGACTCTGGGGCTAGTGAGTGGCAGGACCAAGCCTACATCTCAAGTTTCCAGGCTCCTGGTCTTACTGCTGTTCTTATGAACATAAGCCTGTAAAGGCTCCCTTAATTTTCTCCTCCTTACACCCCGCCCAGGTCAACACTGTCAGCACTACAGCGCTTGACTTCTTGGAGACCCTTGTCTTTCTTTTTCTGTTATCTGTTTTGTGTAACAAACAACTCCAAGGCTTAGTAACTTAAAGCAACAGTTATTGTTTCTTGGTTCTCTGAGCTGACTAGATTCGGCTGATCATTGAGGTTGGCTTTGAGCCAACAGCTAAACTGGAACTGTCAACTGGAGTAGCTCCGTGTGGCTTGGGCTTCCCCCTGCATAGTGGCTGGGTTCTGAGAGGGTGTGTCTCAAGAGCAAGAGTCTCAAAAGGCAGGAAGAGGAAGCCACTAGGTCAGCTAATGGCATAGATTCACTTCCATCGTATTCAGTTGGTCTAAAGAATCACAGGGTCTCATTAGATTCAAAGGGGTGGAAACAGACTTGATGGATGGGTGGCTGGTCCCATTGTGAGAATGAGAGCTATAGTTGTGGCCATCTTTGTAACATATACACCTTCCTTGTCTACTAACCTTGCTTGCTGATGAGGGGTCTGGTAAAGCCAAAATCACCCCTCCACTTCTTTGGTTCTTAAAGATTCAAGGTTCTAAGGACTCCTTCCGTTTCAGGTCAAACCATAGCACTGAGTCATCTCAATGCCAGGCCCTTGGCTTGCTCCCACTGTGCCCAGCATGCATTGTGCCCTGAGCCAGCTCACCATTCCACTGGGCACTAGGCTCCTCTGGGTCCCTGCCCATATACCTCAGTTCCTCTCCAAGCTCTGAACACTGTCACCACACTGGAATGTCCCAGCCTAATTCTTGCCATCTTGGCTCCCTGGCTCTAGCTGCTCCCTGCCCAGGTCTTCCCGTCGTTACAGTCATCTCATCTGAGACAAACATAGAACCCACTGGCCCCCCTGACCAAACTGGGATTTCCCTAATTTGAAGCCCTCTGAGGTGTTTGAAAGTGAAAGTGAAGTCGCTCAGTCGTATCCGACTCTTCGCGACCCCATGGACTGTATTCTATCAGGCTGCTCCGTCCATGGGATTTTCCAGGCAAGAGTACTGGAGTGGGTTGCCATTTCCTTCTCCAGGGGATCTTCCCGACCCAGGGATCGAACCTGGGTCTCCCTCATTGTAGACAGACGCTTTACCATCTGAGCCACCAGGGAAATCTAGGGTTGGCGTCTGCCCCTGTTCACCACCTGTTTGAAAGAACACAGGCTTTCCAGCTCGAAGACCCAGGTTTGAATCCCTGCTCTGCGGCTAACTGGCTGTGTGGTCTTGGGCAAGTGGTCAAACCTCCCTGTGACTTGGCATCTGTATCTACAGAATAGATGTCTTTGTTGGATCCAGCTCAGAAGACTGGTGTGAGGATTAAAGGTGGTAACATAAAAAGCATTTGGGACAATGCAAGGGGAAGAATAGTCACTGGTGGCTCAGACAGTAAAGAATCTGCCTGCAATGCAGGAGACCTGGGTTCAATCCCTGGGTTGGGAAGATTCCCCTGGAGAAGGGAATGGCTACCCATTCCGGTATTCTTGCCTGGAGAATCCCATGGACAGAGGAGCCTGGCGGGCTACAGTCCATGGGGTCACAAAAGAGTCAGATACGACTGAGCAACTCACACTTTCAAGGGGAAGAAGAGACAATCCCAGATTTCAAATCTTCTTTCCCCAGACCCCAAAGCCAATTTTTTTTAAAGTAAACTTTTTCCGTGTCATTAGACTTTACATTGGATGAGTTTTCCCAAAGCAAACACCCAAATCAAGAAACAGACGTCCCTGCCACCTTCTAGTTCTTACCCACCCTCCTGGATTATCCCGATTTGTAACACCTGAGATTAATATCAGGCCCTATTTGTGGCAGCCAACACCCCTGCACAATTGGCAAACAAGATAGGTATCTATCTGGTGTGATTTAAAAGGAACCAGCAAATCCAGCTCCCACTGTGCCTAAATGTTCTCCATTATGGAGGCCTTCCTTTGTGTTAAGCATTGCTCCCTTCCACAGTTCTCTTTTAAAACCCAAATCCATCTGGCTTGTGGTAACCACAATTCCCTTGTCCCATAGAAAAAATATCTGGTCGGCCTTTCCACACTGATTCCCAGGACAGTAGAACCTCCTTCACCAGCAAAGAAATGCAGAAAAAGGGAGAGCACAGACCCAGGAATATGGGCTCTATCTGCTTCACAACTTTGCCCAAGGCCAGTTCAGGCTTTCAGCATTTTATAAAGTATGTTTTAAAATCTAGTGTTTAAGGGATGCTTAAGGAAATGAAGAACCCACACCCCACTCCTCCCCTCTCCCAGCCTTCAACCCCAGCAATTCCAACAAGCCACCAACACATAGAAAAGAAGCAGGTAGAGATAAAAGTGAATCTTGGGGGTCGGCTGGGGCGTGACCCCACCCTGCTCTCCCAGTACACCTTTTCTAAGCCAGGCTGAGGAGAGCTTCTGGCGCTATGACGTCATCAGATGTCAGGCCTTTGACAAATGAGTCCGGCCTGCAGCTGGAGCCTTTGATAAGCCATTTGCAGGCGTCTGGGAGACATCCACGCTGGTCTTGGGAATGCATCCTAGCCCCATCTCAAATTCACATCTTTTCATGTTTTTTTTAAAAGCGTGCCATGTGTCTGTGAAGATTCATGGCTTCAAATATTTTTTTCTTTTTTCTGACATTTCACTTTTTCTCCTTATTCTATTTTATTCTCTTTTTTTTAAGGAAAAGAAAATATTCACTCCAAGGTTTTTAGTTTCTGGGTAATAACTGTCAGATATTAACGGATAGCCCCATACATCCAGCATAAAA